TTTTATCTAGGATCAGAAAAATAGTGAAGTTGATTCTCCACTTCATGCTGTCAAGAAGTACAGAGTTCCATTAGTGAGCCATGCTAATTTTTTTTTTTAAATGTGTTGTAAAAAATTAGCGTAGTGTGCCTACAGAAATCCTGGGGTGGGGAGAGGGTAAAGTTGGCAAAACCAAACCAAACCAATATGTTATTTGTGTGAAAATACAGTATTGGGTTGTGAACAGAGAGGCAAAGAGTAAAATTAGATAAATTTGGGTCTAAAAAGTTTTTAGAAGGCTTTGTATTTGACTGAATAGGTCTGGAGGAAGGAAAAGAAAAGGTCCAGGATAACCCTTTGGTTTTAGGCTTGAGCCATTGGGTAAATTTGTCACAAACTTAGAGAAGACAACAAAGAGATGATAAGTTAAATGTTGAACATGTTTGAATTTGAGGTTCTTATGGAGTAGTAAAGTGAGTATCTGGCACACATTTGACTATGTAAATCTGAAATTACAGGGGGTATGGATGTTAAGCATAATGATAATCATTTGGTTGCCATCATGTTAGGTAATAGCTAAAATTTGAGACTAGGAAATTTTATGTTTTTAATTCTCTAATACAATCTACCAATTATCTGTTAGTTTGTCATACTGTGGTGACTTGTATGATGGTGTGAGGTTGGAGGCTATGCCACCAGTATTTCAAATACCAGCAAGGTCACCCATGGTGGACAGGTTTCAGCAGAGCCTCCAGACAAAGACAGACTGGGAAGAAGGAAGGAGACATCCACTTCTCAAAGAATTGGCCATTGAAAACCATATGAATAGCAGTAAAACACTGTCTGCTGTATTACTGGAAAACTTTATGAATATCCCTGAAACATTGTCTGAAATAGTGCTGGAAGATGAGCCCCTCAGATTGGAAGGCACTAAAAATATGAATGAGGAAGAGCTGACTCCTCAAAGTATAGCTGACATTAATGACATGGATGGAGTAAAGCTTTTGGAACCTCCATTAGCTGATGGGGCACAACTCAAAATAGGAAGAAACAGCTGCAAACATCCATTAATAATCAGAAAGTGGAGTGTATGAAGTATGAATCTAGGAAAATTGGAAGTTGTCAAAAATGGAATACATAAAGATTGAGGCATTAGTGAACTGAAATGGACGGGTACTGACCATTTTGAATCAGACAGACATATGGTCTACTGTGCTGGTTAATGACAACTTGAGGAATGACATGGCATTCATCATCTCAAATACTGTTTCTAGATCTGTCCTGCAGTACAGTGCTGTCAGTGATAGGGTAGTATCCACACACCTACAAGGAACACCAGTTAATACTACTATTACTCAAATTTACACACCAACCACTAAAGCCAAAAGTGAAGAAATTGAAGATTTTTACCAACTCCTTCAGTCTGAAATTGACCAAATGTGTCAATCAGGATGTATTGATTATTACTGGTGATTGGGATGCAAAAGTTGCAAACAAAGAATCATCTGTAGTTGGAAAATGTGTCCTTGTGGATACAAATGACTCCAGAGATTGCATGATAGAATTTTGCAAACCAACAACTTATTTGTTGTAAATACCTTTATTCAACAACACAAATGGCGGCTATACATGTGGACCTTGCCAGGTGGAATACACAGGAACCTGATTGACTAAATCTGTGGAAAGAGGTGATGGAGAAGCCTAATATCATCAGTCGAAGCAAGGCCAGGACATATGATTTTTCTACAAGTGTATTTATATGTTCTGTAAGAATTTCCAGGTATATAGTAGAGCTGACATGGGACAAGATTGTAGTCACTTCTTTGCCACAGCCGGCTACCCGGAGGGAATGAGCAGTTGGACTTGAGGGCTCGGGACCAGGGTTATAGGGGACATCAGGCTCACTTGGCATAACTTACTACACAAGACCATTGTTCCACATTCTACTTTGGTGAGTAGCATCTGGGATCTTAAAAGCTTGCAAGCAGCCATGTAAATGTAACGATGGGTCTTACCTTGTCCAGAGCAAAGAAGAATGAAGAAAACCAAAGATGCATGGAAACAATTAGTCCAGGGGAGTGGGACACCACATGATCCTCAGCCCATATGACTATGAGACCAGAAGAACTAAATGGTGCCTGGCTACCACTATCAACCACTTGGAGGGGGATCTGTAAAGGAGATCCAGGATAGAGTAGGAAAACAGTATGGAACAAAACTTAAAAAAAAAAGGGGGGGGGGATCAGGTTTGCTAGTCTGATGGAGCCTGGTAGAACCCTGAGACTATGGCCCCTAGCTGCCCTTCAGGTCTGGAATTGAACCCACTCCTGTAGAAACAAAACACAGGCATATGAGCTGAACATTTATGTTGGGTAGATACACTCCTTGAAGAGATCAGTCATGAGAGAAATAGAAGGGCTGTTTATGCACAGGGAGACAGCACGGTGGGTAGGAGTGCATGGGAGGGAAGGGCACAGGGAAGAGGTGACTATGGGGAGGAAGTGGGAAGAGAGCTGTTGCATTGTGGGAAATTGCAGTCAATGTCATGAGACAAAGTATGTGTGAACTGCTATATGGAAAATGAATTTGCTCTGTGAACTTTCACCGAAATCACAATAAAAATTAAAAAACAAGACCAGGAGCTGCCTGTGGAACAGACCATCAATTGCTCCTATGCAAATCCAAGTTGAAGCTGAAGAAAATCAAAACAGGTCAACAAGAACCAAAATATGACCTTGATTAAATCCTATCTGAATTTAGAGATCATCTGAAGAATAGATTTGACACATTGAACACCAGTGACCGAAAACCAGATGAACTGGGATGACATCAAGGACATCATACATGAGAAAAGTAAACAGTCATTAAAAAGACAGGATAGGAAGAAAAGACCAAAGTGGATGTCAGAAGAGACTCTGAAACTTGCTTTTGCATGGAGAATAGCTAAAGTGAGTGGAGGAGGAAATGAGATAAAAGACCTGAATAGAAGATTTCAAAGGGCAGCAGGAGAAGACAAAGTCAATTATTATGGTGAAATGTGCAAAGATCTGGAGTTAGAAAACCAAAGGGGAAGAACACAGTTGGCATTTTTCAAGCTGAACTGAAGAAAAAATTCAGGCCTCAGGCTGGAATTTTGAAGGATTCTATGGGCAAAATATTGAATGATGCAGGAGACATAGAAAGAAGATGGAGGGAATACACAGAGTTATTGCACCAAAGAGAATTGATCGATGTTTAACTATTTCAGGAGGTAGCATATGATCAAGAACAATTGGTACTGAAGGAAGAAGTCCAAGCTGCACTGAGGAACTGGCCAAAAGCAAGGCTTCAGAAATTGACAGAATATCTATTGAGATATTTGAACAAATGGATGCAGCTCTGGAATTGCTTACTCATCTATGCCAAGAAATTTGGAAGACAACTACCTGGCAAACTGACTGGAAGAGATCGATATTTGTGCCCATTAGAAAGAAAGGTGATCAAACAGAATGTGGAAATTATTGAACAATATCATGAATATCACACTCAAGTAAAATTTTGCTCAAGATAACTAAAAAACAGTTGCACCAGTATATTGACAGGGAACTTCCAAAAATGCAAGCTGGATTCAGAATAAGACGTGGAATGAGGGATATCATTGCTGATGTCAGATTTTGGCTGAAAGTGAAGCATATCAGAAAGATGTTTACTTGTGTTTTATTGACTATGCAAAGGCATAGTGCAGCCAGAATGCTCCTTGGATGCAAGAATGGCCTTTGTTTGACCTACTTTGGTCATGTTGTCAGAAAAAACCGTTCCCTGGAGAAGGATATCGTACTTGCTAAAGTGGAGGGTCAACGAAAAAAGGGGAAGGCCCTCAATGAGATGGTTTGATACTGGCTGCAATGATGAGCTCAGGTATAGCAAGTATTGTGAGCCTGGCACAGGACTGGGCAGTGTTTTGTTCTGTTGTACATAGTGTTGCTATGAATTTGAGCCTACACAATGGCACCTAACACCACCACCACCAAGAAGAACATTCTGGGCCAAATATTTAAAACATAGAAATGAAAGGAAAGAAACAGCTCTTGAGAAATACACTAAGATAAAAGAACACAATTATTTTTTTCTTATGCAATTTGTTTGATTATTATAGTCAGAATTATCATCTAGTGACGAGAGTGAGAATATTCACAAACTACATCCAGATTTAGAAGACTTCAAGGGTCATAATGGGATTGTCAAAAGAGGTGTGAAAGTCCAAAAAAGACACAGCCACCTAAAGGTAAACTTTTTCTAGTTTCTTATTTTATTAGTATAGAATATTAGATTTTATATGGAAGTGTGGTTTCTCTGTTTCTTAGCATTGTATATTTTCCTTATGGGAGAAGAAATTTAAAAGCATTTTGACCCCAATTTTGTCTTTTTATTGGAAGTAAAATCTCAAGGTATACTATATTTCGTTTCTCTCTGTGTCTTGAAACTGTCTTGCAATATTTTGTCATACTAAATGACTACATGAAGAAATTTAAGTGTATTGAGAATTCATGGTTCAAATGAAAGAAAATAGGCAACAATTTGAGGTTTACAGTGTTTTGCTTATAGAGTCATTATATTGTTTGTCTCATTAAGGCCTTTGGAAAGAATTCTCAGTACGTTTTCTGCTGGTCACTCCTTTTGTGGTGCACTAGTTTTCCTGGCAAAATATCAATTAGCCAGAAGACTCAGGAAATTTTGTGCTTATGAAAAAAAGATTCAGCTAACTGATATGTTGATTTGTACTTTATTTTACTTATAATAGAAATAGCTGTAGAAATTTTAAATAAATATGCTACTTTTTCATTTCTAATTGCATTTTTCCATTTTCACTATTTTTGATCTTAAAAGCATTGAAAATAAATCAGTTTTTCTGAAATATTTGCAATTATTTAAGGAAAATAAATGATTTCCTCCAAGATGTCTTCATGTTTTCTTATTTGTCTTAGCATATTGCCAGGCAGTTTTTAGATGATGAAGCAGAGCTGTCTCAAGAAGATGCAGAATGTGCTTCATCAGATGAAAATGAGTCAGAAAATGAACAAGATTCCTCCTTACTGGGCTTCTTAAATGATGAGACTCAACTTTCACAGGCTATTAATGGTAAATGTTATAATGATGCTTATATTATTTTTAAACTTTCAATGGTTTTTAAGTGATTATTATTTAAATATGCAATTTTCTAAGAAACTAAACTTTAAGGAGAATTAAATTTGTACATTTGGTCATTTTCACTCAAATTCTGTAATACTTGTTTTCTTGTAGACTCAGTTGTTTATAGGCTTCTGCTAGTTTGAATATTTCACTCTGAAATGAGCTGGCTGGCTCAATGTCAAATGTTTATTTAATCAACATTTAGTTCCTACTATGTGCCTGGTACTGTGTAAGGTGCTTCAGAGAGATGTATCAGTGAAAAAACTGGATAAAAAAAAATCCTTGGCTTTTTGAAGTTAGAGAAAGGGGACAGAAAAATACACCAATAATTAAATTATTTGGTTATGTTATAAGGTGAAAATTTTAAAGAAGAAAAGGAAAAAATTAACATGATAAAGATTTCAAGTGGCTGGCATTGGGAGTGTTAATAATGGACAGGTGGTAATTTTCAATGAGGTGATTAGGGGTAGGCATCATTGAGAAGTTAAATTTGCTCAGTATTTGAAGGAGATGAGTGGGCTAGTGATGAAGATTATTAAAACCAACTGAAACACAAAGCTAAAATTTTTTAATTTGCTGACTACGGGAGATCTGCTTTCAGAAAACAGTCTCTCTAAACAGTGTTTAAGCAGATCTTGCAAGCAATACATTAAGAGCAGATGATTCAGATTAGCTCTAACAGAAGTGAGAAAGATCCTAACAGGCTCTCAGGTATTCTGGCCTTTCACACATCATGCTATTTATTTAGTCTTCTCTTCTAGTCCCTGATATGATTTAAAAAACAAAGTGTTCCAAAGTATATGACTTTAAAGAGGAAAGGTTTTAGGGGCAAGATTCTCAGTACTATGTCTTTTATACTGATAAGATTTTCAGAATAAACTTGATGTTTCAGCTGTTTCAGACATAACTTTATTCTTGATGTTCACTAACAGAAGTGGCTATGGAAGAATGTTAATGCAAAAGCAACAGCCAGGAGGCAGGAGTGTGCCTGGCTTACTCATGGAACGACATTGTGATTGGAATTGAATGAGGGAAAAAGGGGGGAGTAGTAGGAAATGACATAAGAGAGGTAAAGGACAGTTAGATCATGATCTAACATATTTTAGTAGAATCACTTTAGTTTTTGTGTTGAGAATGACCAATAGGGAAATAAAGGTAGAAGAGAGACCAATTAGAAGGCTATTGCAGTAATCCAAGCAAGGAATGATGGTGACTTCTTCTAGGAAGGTAGCAGTGAGATGATGACAAAGATTGGATTCTGGATACATTAGGCAAATAAAGCCAACGGGATGTTCTGATGGATTAGAGAGAAAAAAAATGACTCAGTGGGGTTGAGTAACAGGGAGGGATGTAGTTACTGTTGTCTGACAATGTGGGGAGGGCTGCAGGTGGAATAGTTTAGATGGAGAGTGGAGAGATCTGAAATTCCATTTTAGACACAGTATGTTTGAAATGTATAGGATATATATAGTATTACAAAACCTTCTGAAAAGTTCTCTCAGAAATCCCCATTTTCTTTTCATTCATCGTATCTTAAGCACTCTTTGCTTTAAAAAATCATAAACATCAAAAATATCTGTATGTGTCCCAATTTTTACTTGATTGAAAATTATGAAATACACTCTTTGGCTGCTGCTTTTAATGTTTCAGTGCACATTTTCTTTTGTTTTATTGAATACTTCCTATAAATGAGCTACAGTCCTAAGTGCTTTATATACATTTTATTTTTAATGAAGAAGCATTCTTTAATTCCCATTTTCAGAGGAGAGAGATAACTGTGGCAAAGAGAGCTTAAATAAATTGCCCAAGGTCACCCAGGAAGATGATCTGATTTCAAAGGCAACATTCTTAACTTTGTATTTTGAATAATTATTTTTAGACATCTTGCAATAAATGTTTACTATCTTGTGTGTAAAATAATTTTGTAAGGTTGGAATCATGTAAATTGTGGAATAGGTCAAAGTTAAATAGTTTTCCAGCTTTCATTTAAATAATTTTACTACTTTATTATGTTTTAAAATTACAGATTAGGTCAAAGCTAAATAGTTTGCTGTCTTACTCTCTTAAATTTTTATTATCTTTACACAGATTCTGAAATGGAAGCTGTTTATGTGAAATCTTTACACAGTTCATCGATGAGCAATCAGTACAAAATGGGCCATAGAAGACATAACAATATAAACATTTTCTCACAGGTATCAACTATAGAAATATAATGGAGAATTTCTCAATGGTGACTTTGAAATGTTCCTATTTATGAAGTCTCCATTTTGTTTCTAAAACTGGACTCTCAGAGCTATTTGGAATAATTTCTGTCCAGATGATGAACTAAATGAGTTCTCAGGATCCCTTCTAGTTCTAATTTGGTCAAATTATCTTAATTTTAATTTGAACTAATTAGAATATACAATTAGCTTTTTTTTTTTTAATTAGCATATTTATAAAGGAAGTGGATAGAATTTTACATATAAATTAAACTTTAAATTCTTATATGTTGTTAATTACTTATCTTGACATAGCAACCCCCTTTCAGTTTCCGAGGCAGTAGATCTTTATGGAAGTAGTAGTTTGCCCAGTCTTCCTTCCAAGGAGTGGCTGGTGAGTTTGAACCACCAGCCTTCTGGTTAGCAGTCAGATAGATGCCTTAGGCACTATGCCTCCAGAGTGCCTTAAAAATGTTATAGTCTAAAAATTATAGATAATGTGTCATTTATGGATAACGTTTTGATATTAATCTTTGTTTATAAGTTGCCATGTAAATCTTGCCCACATGTTCCTTCATATCTCTGTATTTCCATTGTACTTATTATATAGCAAGGTCCTTGGGTATTATAAACATTTGCTTAACAGTTTGCTTAATGCAGACCCACCCAGTATGAGTGTCAGCAGAAAGGTTTGGCGATCTGCTTCCATGAAGATTATAGCCAAGAAAACCCTATGGAACAGTTTTTCTGTGTAACACATGGGGTCAGAGCCACATTTGATTCAATGGCAACAGATTATTATATAACACCTACTGCAATGTTTATTAATTATTCACTTTTCTGGCTATCTGCACTAGATTCTAAATTCCTGGAGGCTAGATTATTCTGTCTTTTTGTTGATCTTCATATGCCTCATTTTCCTCCATTTAAAAAAAAAAGTACTCAAAATATATTAAATGAACAAGTCACTGAATTAATAAAGTGTAAAATAAATATTAATGAAGGACTCATGCACTTGAAAGTATATTTTAAATACACATTGATTGTGTGAGATAAAATTAAAAATATTCATTCTTATTTATATTTTTTTGGTAGATTCCTGAGCAAGATGAAACCTATTTGGAGGACAGTTTTTGTGTTGATGAACAGGAATCTTACAAAAGCCAATCAAGTGAAGAAGAAATCTGTGTTGATTTTAACTTAATAACTGAAGATTGCTTTGTAAATGGGAGTAAAAAATATAAAACCCGACGTGCAGTAAAACAAATGAAGTTACGACAAAATTGTGCACCTTCTAAAAAGAAATTCTCCAGAATTATTTTACCAGATGATTCAAGTGAGGAGGAAAATAACGTAAATGATAAAAGAGATTCCAATATTGTGGTTAACACAAACACTGTTAAGAAGAATGAACAACAGGACTATTGTTTGAATTTAGTACCTTTCCAGTCTAAGGTCCATTCTAATCCAAATGTTAGTCAGTCACCCAAGCAGAGACAACAGGCACCACTTAATCTAAAGGATACAAATTCAGACGTTTTGGACTTCAAACCTCAGAGCCATAATAAAATTGGATCAGTTACACCATCTTTCACTACTGATGATTCACAGAAAGACTATGGAAAATTTCCAGTTCAGCTGAAGGTATGAATCAATTAAGGACTTGCTCATGTGTTTCAAAAGGACTTTTTTTTGTTTTGCTTGCTTCTTTTTCTTTTCTTTTTTTTTGTGTTAAATAACTAGGTCAAAGAAAAATTAGTGAGTGATGAAATTCTTCAAGAAAATAGCACACCAAGTTGTTTGGATATTCATGGATACTTGGGTTTTAATTTTTTAAAAATGTGTTAATTGTTTTATTAACACTGTAAAGAAACCTGCTAATTTTATTTAAAAAAAAAAAGGGACATAGGAAAATGGGGCTCTCTGCAAGGTAAAATTAACAGAAATTATATACTCAGAACTAGTTCTCAGATTAATTTTTCTTCCCCCGCAAAGGCTTTCAGGTAAGTAACTCACTAATGTCTTTACTGGGAAGAAAGGGCGGGAGGTGGGAAATACCAACTGGTTTTCTTTAAGTCTGTCTTTCAGAATGGCTGCTAACTAGTTCAGTTATCAGCTTCTATCTTGCTATTGCTTGCTGAAAAACATCACTAAAACCCCTTTTTCAGAATTTGTAGTGCCAGTAATTTTGCTGAAATGGAGGTTAATTAAAGCCATAATAAAAATCCCTTGCCTGTAATATTGATTCATTCCCTCATCCAGCAGTGATGACCAAACATAGACTTCTAGTTCTTTTTAATTCCCAGAGTATTTCAGTGCACTCTGCCTTTGCAGTATGCTCCACAGTGTCCATATAATGAACCTCTTCAAATTGGTGTTTCTGGGTCTAAATTATTCCCAGCCTTTTTTCTTTTTTTTTTTTGTACAATGTTATTTCTTGAAGTTGACTAGATTAAATCTTTATACTAGATTGGAGAACAAGAAAGTGCTTGTGGTAGTTAAGTTTGTGTGTCAACTTGGCTGGGCCTGGTTTAGTGGCTGGGCAGCTGGATGTGGTATTTCTCATGATGAGACTGGTAATTAACTCCATGGTGGAATCTACTGTGAGCAGCTGTGTAGCTGCCTTAAGGAATGTAGTCTGCTTTCTGTGTATAAGGAGAAGCCTCGGGGAATGGTCTCTAGCTTATGGCACACTTGGACCCTGCGTGTAGCCGTGTCATTGTTCAGCAGTCTGCCATGCTCTGCTGACCTTGGGATTTACAATGGACTTGAATTAATGGCCTGCCGTGTGGTTTGGTAACATCGGGACTGTGTCATTTTATTTGTTGACCTTGGGCTTGTTAGCCTCAGCAGCCAGTAGCTGCCCGAGTGAAGAGATGCCTGTAGCTTTAGTGGGCTGGGAGCAAGAGGCAGAGCTGAAGCCTAAGGTTGAGGGGCTTTCACCCAGCCCCTAGAGCCTGACACTTTGAACTTGGACTTAAAGCCTCCAGACTGTGAGAGAATAAACTCCTGTTTGTTAAGGCCATCCCATTTGTGGTATTTCTGCTAGAGCATACTATGTGAATCCAGAACAGTGCTTAATTTCTCTCTGTCTTGATACCTCATCTGTATTATAAAGATAGCAACCCCAAAGATTAAGTTAGATAATATATGTATAATACTTTGAAAACAGGTAGGCACTATCATTTTAAAGAACATTTCTACTTTGGCATGTTTTACCTAAAGGAGTCAGCTGCAGGGATACAGGTGAGGAGAGGGAACCTAGGCCACGCCCCAAAACAGCAGGGCTGGAAAGTGGGAGAAAGGAGAGGAAAAGGCACAGTGACCGGGACAGAGCATGGAGTCAGCCGCAGGGATCCAAGTGAGGAGAGGGAACACAGGCCATAATACCCCATATGCTGCAGGGTGGGAGAGCAGGAGAAAAGAGAGGAAAAGGTCCAGGGACCGGGACAGAGGGAGGAGTCAGCTGCAGGGATCTAGATAAGGGTGGTTGGAGAGGTTTCCAACAGCTAAGAGAGACAAACTTGTCTGTTGGTTTGCACTACTGTGGTGATGTGTTGCTGTCAGTCTTCAGGCTAAGCCACTGGTGTTTCAAACCCAGTGGGCTGCACATGGTGCACAGGTGTCAACCTGGCTTGCAGACTGAGACAGACTAGGAAGAAGGAAGAGGCCATCCACTTCTCAGTGAATTGGCCAGGGAAAACCTTATGAATAGCAAAGAAACACTGTCTGATACATTACCATGCAACTTTATGAATAGTCCAGATAGGTTAGAAGGCTCTCAAAATAGGACTGGGAAAGAGCTGCATCATCAGAGTAAAACCAGCCTTACTCATACAGATGAGGTAAAGCTTTCAAGACCTCCATTTGCTGACATGGCACCACTCATATTGAGGAAAATAGCTGCAAACATCCATTAATCATCGGAACATGGAATGTACGAAGTATGAATCTAGGAAAATTGGAAGTGGTCAAAATGAAATGGAACGCATAAAGATTGATATCCTAGGTATTAGTGAGCTGAAATGGATGGGTTTTGGTCATTTTGAATCAGACAACCATATGATCTACTATGCCAGGAATGACAGTTTGAAGAGGAATGGCGTGGCATTCATCATCACAAAGGATCTTTCAAGATCTGTCCTGAAGTACGATGCTGTCAGTGATAGGATAATATCTATACGTCTACAAGGAAGACCCATTAATATGACTGTTATTCAAATTTATGCCCCAACCACCA